GTGTGTGTGTGTGTGTGTGTGTGTGTGTGTGTGTGTGCTTTTATTTCTTCCATTCCTCCCAAAACGGAGAGAAGCATGCCACGACACATCATCCACCTTCTATCTGGCTTAAAATGAGAATGCAAACTACGATTTATTCTTGTGTTTTCATCTCCTAAAGGGGGTGAGTGCAGCACAAAGCAAGAAAAAAAAGGTTCACATCAAATATAAACAGGAACATGTGAGGTGTTTTTTTGTTTTGTTTTTGTTTGTCTAACTGTCCCCTCTCCCAACCTTTTCCAGCTTCCGCCTCCACCCCCACCCCACAACACCCCCACGGCTCCAGGGGAGAGACCAATGGGTAAGAGTGCTGAGGCGGGATAATTGATAGATGCACTGGCTATCCTTATCGATCAGCAGCGTATTGACCGGACCAAATACATTGAGATGGAGTGTGGAATTCAACACAAATGCAAAGACGAATTGTTTTCATCGTTAATGCGATCTTTAAATGTCTCCCAAACCTCAGCTCGCCCGCGTCTCTTTTCTCTTTACTGCCGCAGCTTTTAGGAGAAGAAGCTGTTATGTGCAGCAGATGCAGATCCTTGGATGTTTTGAATATGCACGACAGCCCCTTATTCCTTGTTTTCAGTCGACGTCGTTGGCCAACGCGAAGGACACAACCTCCCCCAAACAGTCCTATATATGCTCTATTTTATGAGTGGATAGCCATGTTTGTGTGTGTGTGTGCGCGTGCGTGTGTGTGCAGACACGGTTAATTTTTTTGCATTAGCTAAGCAGGCCAGCTGCATTGATTTGTGTGACTGTGATGAATTTGGAATAGTAATTTGAATTTATTGATTGATGTGGCCAAGCGAGTATATGGCCCGGCCTCACTTTCAGCATCACAGCCCACCCCCTATCCACCACCACCACCACCACCAATCCTCGCTAACTCACACTCCCAGCCCACATGTGCTCCGAGGATAATTGTGCTTTTAAAGGCAGTGAGTAAAACGTGCCTCCCGTTCATTTACGTATGAGTCGTTTGTCAGTTTGCGCGCACGTCCAGTTTTTCTTGTTGGAGACCCAGGCCGTGCACCAATGGAGGTTTCACAAATGCTGCATGACAAGCAGGCATCTTGCATAGGATAATTGGATTAAATTAAGCTAAAAGTGAAGGGCTTTTTAAACAAATATCGCAAAAATACCACAAAATACATGGGGGGGATGCGCTCTTTTACGCACACTTTACTTGCTTCACCTGCGCCAGCATGGCCACATTTAAGTGGCGCGCTACACAGATGTGTGGCTCTCCTGCAGCCTTCTGGAGGTTTTACCCTGATGCCGGCTGTGGAAGATATAAAACCCCGCAGCCCAATTAGCTTTAACAGCAGTGGCACTTAAAGAGACAATTGTGGAGTGTTTAAATCTTTATTTACCAGAAMCCCACTAAATGCGCAAAGGAACAATTTACATGCCATTAAGTGCTTTTCAATAGGGCATTGACTGGAACTAAAATATGCCACTATATCTGCTTAATTGAACTGGTGGCTGAAATACGACACGGAAGCGCTGATTGACGTTTGGAGGAGCAGCGCCTTCTAAACAGGGTCTTTACACAAACATCGATGAGATGAGAGGGGACCTCTCACTCACATCTCCGTCTTAACCTCACCGTGACGTCTCGTTTTCATTTACGCTTAAGCGTTAATCAGGTGTTAAAGGGAGGTTTTAAAGGAGGGAGGCGGGGTTCGAATCACATAACGCGCTCAACTTTGTGCAATTAAAGTCAAAAAGGTGGTGAACACTGGGTTTCCTTGTGTGCATTCTGCTGAACTGCTCCACGAACCACAATGAAACCCCGTCTCGGCTGCAGAGTGACAGCACGCAGGACCCTTAAATCAAATCTGGAGACGTGTTGTCCCAAAGTACTCACTAGGCCAAAAGAAAGACGCATCTGTTTGTGTCTCTGCCTTTCAGATCCAAATCGATCATTTATCAGCTCCTCTGAAAGGGGAGGCCTGGACCCGAAATATTGATCCAGAGGAGGTCACGCTCCCTTCTGGCTCTTTGGCCATGGGGCCTCAGACTTATCATGAGCGCGCTTTTTGGACAAGAGAAGAGTCAAAATAACAGATCACGTTCGTGCTCTGCCATTGTGTTGGTGTTCTGATTTATATTTGCTTGGCCATCCTCTCTCTCTCTCTCTCTCTCTCTCTCTCTCTCTCTCTCTCTCTNAAAATAAACAGCACGAAAACAATATGACTCCCACTCACGCTTCGCCTGCGGGGGATTATTGGGTGTGACACTACAGTTGAATAACTTTAGTAAAATGGCCGTTACAGCAGTTAACCTCAGAAAATGACTGAAATTCAGGCAACTTTTACTGTCATTGTGCTCAGACTTTGTGCAGTTGAATCTGAAATTTATTCACGACACAKACAGTAGTTCAAGTGCTACTTAATGTGCAAAGTTTCTGTTTAAAACTTCAGAATTGAGAGTTTGTTTCAGCCCTGTTTCTCTGTTAGCATAATATCTCAGGAACGACTGGATGAATTTTATGTAACTTTCAGAAAGTAATAACTGGATGTTCTTCTACAAGTGTTTACCTTTTGAAATTAATCCAGTTCATTGTGGCTGCTACAACTAATCYAGATCGGCCAACACAAAAATGTCTCAAAGTCAGTCAATTTTACTTATATTGAGCCAAAATTTGGCATGATAGTAACTGAGAGTCATTTACAACACATACTATGATCATGTGATCTTGCAATATTATGTGAGCTAGGTTTAAAGTTGTTTTACTTCTGTCATTCCTCATTAAAACATATTTTTATTTTAAGGGCTGGCATTAGGAATGTTAGGTATTTTATTGATTATTTTTTTGCAAGGTGTAAAAAAGTGCAAGATGCGTTTGAATTTATTTCAGTTTTTCTCCTCTAGCTCAGGGTGTCACTGGGTTGTTTTGGTTGGTGGTCAGATTATGACCCCTGCGTTCCTGATGTTTGTCAGATCTCAGGAAATGAAGTTTCTTTCTTTCTTTCTTGCCGTCCCTCCCTGCTTTATAGATGAGGAGTTACATCATTAGTATGCCATTAGCCCTGATCATCGATTCCTCCTGCAGATCTCCGCCCCTCCCTCTCGTTCGCTGACACAGAATTCTGAAGAGATCTGTGAACTTTATCACCTTTTGGCGTTCCGGTTTCCTCTCCGAGAATTCCCTCTAGATCAGCACTTTCCTCCCCTCCAGACCTTTTCTAATTATCTTGTTCCTRCTTTTCAATAAATAATTACAGTAAAGGCCATCAATCAAAAGGGAAACATTGATAACTGAAAGGGAAAGTCCAATATCCCCTTGGCACACGAGTCCCGCTGTCATAAACGCAATGACAGACTGTGTGTGTTAGTGTGTGCATTTGTGTGTGTGTGTGTGTGTGTGTGTGTGTGTGTGTGTGTGTGTGTATGCTGTTGTGAGAGTTTGTAGCAGCAAATAATTTTCACATAAATCATGTGCTATGGGATAGATGAGAAGCTGCAGTGAATACAGTGGACTGCTGTGATTAAGCTTTGTAAGCTGTTTGTGTGTGTGTGTGTGTGTGTGTGTGTGTGTGTGTGATAAAAATAAAGAGACACAGAGGGAGAAACAGGAACGTGTCTCACACCGTATCCGTGCGTAAAAGTGTTGAACGTGAGTAAAAAACCAACATGTCACACGCTCTGCCTCAGTAGTGCCTCCCTGTTTTTCCTTTATCAGCCTTCTTTTGTTTATACGTCTGTGGATTGTAGCATCAAGCAAAATGTAGACCCCCCCACCCCCCCACCCCACACCAACATTTAACACCCAAACTGTCATGATGAAGTTTTTACTCGATACGATCGACTAATAACTTCTAGTAATGTCTGTTTGAGCAGCTATTGGCAGTCTCGCCACATTGACTTCGAATTGATCCCTCCACATCACTCAGGTTGGGAGCTGTCTCCTCACTCACCTGCAAGCCTGAGCGCTGACATCCGCTGGAACTCGGGCTCCTGGAGCCACTTCCACATCCTCCTGAACGTCTCCCGGCCGGACTTGAGCTTACTCCACGGTTTAGGGTTCCGCAGCAGGTCGGACAGCGTTCCCTGGGACCGGCACAAGATCCTCTGAGCAAAGATGGCCTGCGGGATGCTGTAGCGCTTGAGCTCCGCCGTTATCCGCTGCGCCACCTCCTTGGTGTTTATCTCCTCCACCTGGCCCGAGCCGGCTCCCTGCCCGCCTCCCACCACCGTCTGTCTGTCCCGCTCTGACAGCATGGACCCGTTTGCCTGAGAATGCGGATGGCTGTGATGGTGGATGCCGTTCAAGGATGTCATGAGCCCAGCCCCGTGGCCCCCGAGACCTCGGGCCAGGTGCTCCTCACCCCTTGACAGCATGGCTGCGTGGGACTCGAACCCACCCGAGGAGAGCATTTTGTCATTGGAGAGGTGCGCTCCGGGTCCGTAGGCGCTCAGAGTCTGCTGGGAGCTGTGCAGAGACCCCAGGCCGTTGGAGAGGGGGGACAGGGGCTGCCCCATGCCGGACATGTCTTTGGGGTAGTGGCCATAGAGGTTACTCATGGAGGCGAGGCTCCGGTCATCCCTCATCAGGGTGAAGCTGCCGCTGACGTTCCCCGCCGCGAGTCTCTGGTGCGCCGGATGATGGTGAGCGTGTGGGTGCGGGTGGTGAAATTTCTCCGACACGGTGGAAATGGGAGGCAGGTGCTGCAGCGGCGTCAGCGTGGTGTAGGTGCTGCTCAGGCTCATCCCGGAGTCGCACGACATGGTCATGGCCGGGTGCAAGGGCCCCGAGAGCGCGTGGTCCGTGCGGTAGTCCCCGGCTCCCTCCAGTATGGAGGCCATGCTGGACACCATAGCCGAGCGTCCGTGCGACACCAAGTTCCGATGCGACGCCGAGGACTGGCGCGCGTGCGGGGAGTTCATTAAGTCACTCGTTTGATGGGAGTGAGACACGCCGTGCAGATTTCCGATGTTTTCCATTGTAAGCTCCATCGCTGGTGGGGAAAAAAAGGATCTTTATTTCCACCACTCTCGCCGCTCTCTCTCTCTCTCTTTCACTCTCTCTCTCTCTCACTCTCGCTTCTCTCCCTCTCCCCACTGTCGCTCTGTCTCGCGGTCCTTTCCAATAAATTCTTAACGATTTCAAAGCCAAGCCATTGATTGTGGAGTTGCTTCTTCGCGGTTCAATCCAGCATGTTTATTTATTTTTTTTAAATCGGGTCCCCGGCCGCCACGCAGGAGAAAAAATAAAAATAAAAATAAAAAAAATTACCGCGCCGCAAACCCCCTCAGCTGAGTGCGTCTGACTGGATTTCTCTCCCCGCTCAGCACCTTCCTGCTACACCCAAAGCGCCGCTCGGCTCGCTGTGTGTRTATATCGACGCGCCCCTCGCTCCTGTTAAGTCCAGACCGAGCCTGTGCGCGTGTGCGCGCCCCCGCGTCGTACATCCTGGCTTTCTAGCACCCTGTCTGGGGGGAACGATGTGACGTCACCCACACGCCCCCCACCCC